ACTATATCAAAACTTAAGAAGTGGTAGTTTCTTAAGATATATTAATATGGAAATTTAAATATATCTGTGGCTTTTTCTTGTGTGGTTATATTAATCTCCATTTGCCTTGCCCCTTGAAGACCTCTTTCAGTCAAGTGTAATTTGTATCATCATGAGTTGGTCATTTGGAAAAGATTAGTTCACCAAGTTACATGAATCTTCTAAATACTCACATTCTGTGAAATAGGAATTACAATATAAAAAATTCACATTGATTTATATTACCTCCAGTCACATGCAGAATGGCCTTAAATCTTGGGGAGCTATCAAACTCACAGTGATAGATGCTGGTTTTCCCAAAATTATGATTTTAACTTGAAAGCTCAACTTCTATTATGGGCAACAAATAATGTCAAGTTGTTTTCCTTAAAGTGACAGACTCCCTTTGTTCATGTTCAAGAAAATGTCTGCCAAAGACCCAAGCCTGAATTACCATAATTTGTCATTCATTCTTTCCAGTAAACATGGTATTCCATGAAACAAGCAACTTGTTCAGCTTCCAAGTTAAACTGTAGCACAAATGCTTTTTCTCAAGATTACCATTGTACTTCAGTAGTCAGCAGAAATGCCTTATGTATACTTGCTATTTTAAACACAGAATATTTAACATCCATGTACTCAATGGTTGAGATTTAATAAAATTAATAATTTTTACAGATGCATCAAGAACATTCTTTAGCTGGCATTTTTAAAAACCCTATTAAATACTTAAATGCAGAGAACAAACTGGTAGTAACATTTCCATTATTATGTAACCATTACCATTATCCATACCTCAACTTTTTCATTATCCCAAACAGAAACTGTACCCATTAAATAATGACTCCCCTGCTCCCTCTCCTCAGCTCCTGGCAAGCATCGTTCTACTTTCTGCCACTATAAATTTGACTGTTCTAGGTACTTTATGTAACTGGCATCATACAGTATTTGCCTTTATGTGTCTGGCTTACTTAGCATAATGTCTTCAAGTTTCATCCATGTCATATCATGTATCAGACAGACTTTTACTTCTTTTTAAAGGCTACATAATATTCCATGGTGTGTATATACCAGTTTATCTATTCATCTGTCTATGGACACTTGGGTTGCTTCCACTTCTTAGCTAGTGTGAATAATGCTGCTGTGAACATGGGTATACAATATCTGTTTTAGCCCCTGCTTTTAACTGAATAGTTGCTTTTTAATCTTCCTATTCCAAGCCCCCTAATACTGGTTTGTCAAGGAGCTTCCCTCAGAAACTAATCAGTTATATCCTCATGAGAAAATAAGACAGGAAGAAGTGAAGGGTCTGACACCACCCACTTCTGTTAATGGGAGTACTAAAATAGGTGCCAGCAGCCTTTCAGTAATTAGGATACTGTGATTGTGGCTTTTGTTAGATTTTTGTATCTATTATTCATTTGAGTCATAATTAAGTAGAATGTCATTTTTTCTTAAAATATCTGCCATGTTTGTCTAGCATTTATGGTGCTTTGTGTTTAAAAATTTTAATTAAAAAAACCACAACAATGTAAAATGAAACACTTTGATCTGTGCCATTCCCACGGAAATTTATCTTACATACTTCAGTATAATATTTATTTAAGGATTACATTACATTTTGGAGACTTAGCATGTATCAGTGGCTTTCAAACTTTGTGGTCTCAGGCCCCTTATATTCTTAAAAATTATTGAAGACCCAAAAGAGCTTCTATTTATTTAGGTATTAGCTTTTGTTACTTAGAGTACTAGAAATTAAAACAGAGAAATGAAAAAAATTACTAATTATTTAAAAATAATAAACCTGATAAATGTTATAAATAATACACTTTTATGAAAAATAACTATTTTCTAACTAAAAAATTTACGGAGAAGAGTGGTATTATTTTACATTTTGGTAAAATATCTTTAATGCCTGACTTAGTGAAGTTACCTGGATTCTTCTAAATGCTTCTGCATTCAGTCTGTTGCAAAACTGTTTTTTGTTGAAATGTGTATAGAAAATCTGACCTCATACAGATACGTAGTTGAAAAAGGGAGGAGCATTTTAATAGTCTTTTCAAATAATCATGGATACTTTTTCTTTGATACTATATCAAAACTTAAGAAGTGGTAGTTTCTTAAGATATATTAATATGGAAATTTAAATATATCTGTGGCTTTTTCTTGTGTGGTTATATTAATCTCCATTTGCCTTGCCCCTTGAAGACCTCTTTCAGTCAAGTGTAATTTGTATCATCATGAGTTGGTCATTTGGAAAAGATTAGTTCACCAAGTTACATGAATCTTCTAAATACTCACATTCTGTGAAATAGGAATTACAATATAAAAAATTCACATTGATTTATATTACCTCCAGTCACATGCAGAATGGCCTTAAATCTTGGGGAGCTATCAAACTCACAGTGATAGATGCTGGTTTTCCCAAAATTATGATTTTAACTTGAAAGCTCAACTTCTATTATGGGCAACAAATATTGTCAAGTTGTTTTCCTTAAAGTGACAGACTCCCTTTGTTCATGTTCAAGAAAATGTCTGCCAAAGACCCAAGCCTGAATTACCATAATTTGTCATTCATTCTTTCCAGTAAACATGGTATTCCATGAAACAAGCAACTTGTTCAGCTTCCAAGTTAAACTGTAGCACAAATGCTTTTTCTCAAGATTACCATTGTACTTCAGTAGTCAGCAGAAATGCCTTATGTATACTTGCTATTTTAAACACAGAATATTTAACATCCGTGTACTCAATGGTTGAGATTTAATAAAATTAATAATTTTTACAGATGCATCAAGAACATTCTTTAGCTGGCATTTTTAAAAACCCTATTAAATACTTAAATGCAGAGAACAAACTGGTAGTCGCCAGAGGGGTGGGAGAGGTGGGGAAATAGGCAAAATAGGTAGAGGGGATTAAGAGATACAAACTTTAAGTCATAAAATAAGTCATGGAGATGAAAAGTATAGCACAGGGAATATAGTAAATAATCTTGCAATAATTTTGTATGGTGATAGTAACTACACTTATCGGGGTGAGCATTTTGTAATGTATATAAATGTCAGATCACCATGCTATTTACGTGAAACTAATATGTTAACCGTACTTTAATAAAAAAAAATCCAATGAGTACTAGGACAGTTTGGTTCCGGTGCCTTCACAGGTGTTAAAGAGCTGAGTTTGACCTTTGATACAATTGATGTATGCATTGCCAGAGGGGTGGGGAGATTGGGGGATGGGCAAAATAGTGATGCTTTTGCACCATTGATATAATTGTCAATAGAGTGAAAAAGGCAGATAATGTCTTAATATTATTATGAAAATAATTTTGACCCTATGGATACCTTGGGAGTTTGTTGGGACATGATAGATTATATTGTATTTAATGTGGATACTTTAATAATCATGGCTTATGCTCTTAAGTAGTTTAAAACCCCTGTATATATTCTCGCTGGGTCTTGAGAAGTTGCTTCTGCTTTTCCCATCTGTGATGTTGTCTCAAGTCTGCATAGGGACTAGAGTGTTAGCATTTTAGGAGAAGAACTGCATTAGTTTGAATTTTATTTTCACTTTTTTTCCTCAGGTACAAGTGCTTCCTGAGAGAATTTAGTTGTTTTGGTGTATAGGCACATACAAAATATGCATCCTGTGACCCACATGAATTAAAGCATCTCAAGGAAATTACATGTAGCTGCTGCCTTGCTCCGGCCTGCCTTCTGCAGACTTTTATTGAATATCTAGTTTATACTGTGTTCTACACCAGGGGTGAGAAAGATAGCGTCCTGGCTTCTAGGAGTGCAGGGCAGAGTGTTACAGTGCAGCGTGCTGAGCACAGTCACAGAAGTTAGTACAAGGTGCTCTGGGAGCCTCATAGGACAGGTGCTATGGTAGGTGTGTTGTAAGGGAAGTGTTGGGGCCTGTCTCTGCTAGGGAGCAGCAGGAATGGAGACCTGAAACGAAAGGAAGAACACAGTACTTTGGGGGGCAGGGAGTGGCCATATGTGGTGGTAACTCAGGCTGGATTTGCAGGCTGTGGCAGGAGAAGAGGACAAGCTGAAATCAGATCATTAAGGGTCTTGCTGGGATTTGATCTGGTAAACCAGTGGCTCCCAGAGCGTAGTCCCCAGACTCGCATATTAACATTTCTTGTTAGAAATGCAAACACCTAGGCTGGCCCTAGACTTTCAGTGACAGATATTTTGGGTGGGGGAGGCTATCTGTTTCACTCATCCAGGGTACTTCTGGGTGGGGGAGAATTGTCCAGGTTCTTCAAGCAGCCTTAAGGTTTTTGAAAGATGCTCCAAGGGCTCTCTGGAAGGTAGCTTGGTGTGGGGAAGTGGGGGACCTAGTGGCCCCTCTGCTTTTGTGGATGTGTTGTGAGCCCGGACTAAAGGCAGTAGCAAGGAATGGGATGGATATACTGGAGGAAGATTCTCAGAAACTTCATAGCTAGAAGATGACTTAAAAGCTGAGAAAATAGCTGTGGTTTGTACTGGGACCTACCAGCAGTCAGGGATGGAAGGGTTTTAAAAGCCATTGCTGCCTTGTGTCTTCAGGGAACATCATTCCCAATAACGAAAGAAGTCAATTCAGATGACTTGCCTGAGCCTCTTCGGTCTGCTTTCTGAGGTTGCTTACTTAATTAGATGATGGCCTCTGGCGGGGTAAAGTTGCTCAGTAGGGCCCAGAGTCTTTGCTGAGCACAGTGTGGGGAATGGAGGCAATGACTTCATGAACATATGCCCCAGCTGCTGGCAAAATTAATATGTAGTATGTGGCATTCAGACTCCTACTGTTGTTTGTTGTCTGTAAGTTGGTCAGCTGTATGCACCCTTTTTACTATTTGAATTTTGCCAGTTGGTGTTTCCATTTGATGTATGTGAGGTAAAGATGGGTCTCCAATTTCAATTACAGTGATTATTCTGTAGAACCTTTATTCTTCAGTATTTTAAAGTTCTTTCTATATCCTGTTTTTTGTTTTACAGGTTTGTAAGACTCCAGGGCCTTCAAGCCGTGATTATGAGATGGTTCCTGAAATGATTGGGAAAACAGACACTTTGCATGACAGTTGAAGAGTGTATGTCTGTGCATATTTACAATTTTTATATACATACACATTTACACGAGAAGACGGACTCATTCTTGCGCACACTTGAAGAGTCTCACAACTGATGAAAATTAATTTAAGAATCAGATGGAGCAACTTGACACTGCTGGGCTCAGGAGCCCAGGGAGAAAAATACATTACTAATGGCCAGTTTTCCATATGGTCTTCACGGGTAAAGAAAGTTTGCAAAAAGAAGAAAAAAAAAACTTGCACAGATCAAGCCTCAAAAATACCTCTCTGGTTTAAAGCAGGAACTAAGTGAGAAGGTGGCTGAGGGAGAAGTGTGATTTCAGGCATTGCTAGGGGTCATGCAGTGGCTTTTGCACTTTAGTTTTCAGTGGGTTTGGTGATTTGAACAGACATTAAAATTCTGGACTGAAAAGTAACTCTTCCTGTGTGGTTATGACTGGAGGAAAAGCAAGTTCAGGTGTGATGGGACAAGTTTGAACAATGAACTGATTCCTTTGCCTTTTTCAGTTAACTGTATTCAAGAAATTTTAATTTATTATATCCCCTTTCCTTTCCTGTATTTCTATAAGATAATATCTTAAAGTAGCAATTGAAACCAATAATTAATGAAATAAGGATCAAGGAACATCCAAGCAAAGCTTTTTCCTTGTAGTATACATGTGACATTTATAAACAGTCTGTGAATGTGAACAGGAAAGTGTTCATCAGCAAAACAGGATAACTTTTTAGGGAAACACTGGGAAAGAACCCTGCTCTTGCCTGTGTTTTTGTTTTAAGGGGTTCTCTTCCCTGTTGAGTTCAAGAAGACCTGCATATAATAGGAGGATTACTTAATGGACTTAATTCTGAGATTGTTTTTTTTCCTTCAAGATGCAAGATGGAAAAATATGTGATCTTTAGGAGCAGAAAAAGGAGAGGTGACTAGGGTAGGGTGGAAGGAGACGTGGCAAGAGACAGAATCCTGCAAGAAGGTTCCATTTTGGTCAGCATGGCGATTTAGTATTCACCAGAGCAAATGCTTAGCCCACTTTAAGAGCTTTGGAACGTCTGGCTCTGCTGAGTGGAGGGGCTTTCCCTGTGTCTCTATGGCACTGAGGAGTGTGCTGGCTTGCGGAGGGGCAGTCAGATGGAGCCCAGCTCTCCCCCGGGACACAACAACCTGCTGGCCAACTGGGCCGGGCTCTGAGGTAGGAAGTGTCTGGTTCTGAACAGTGGAGAAAGAGTCTTTTTTTTCTTCCTAAACTTGGACTGTTGTCTGCACAAACTCTGGTCTGTTTTGCACGGTTTGTGTGCCTTTTTTTCCATTTATGCAATCTTTTTCAGCTTTAGCAGCAGAAATTTGTCTAGTTGAGAAAACATGCCAGAGGGTGGTTTCAGAAGGAAGATGATCCCATGAGCTCTGTTTCTGCATCTGAACTTTTGAAGAGAAAACTCCAGCTCAAGGGATTCTTAAAGCCTTAAGTTACTTGAAATCTATGTATTTGCAACCCTTTGTCTCTGGAATCATATTACACTAAACTGGAATCTCAGGCTGAATGAGAATAACCAAGTTGAGTTAAAAGAAGAAAACTCAGTTTCTTGATCACCACGTATTAACAATGCTCTTTCTCCAAAGGATCAGCCTGCTCTTCCTCTGAAGACTTGAAAATAAAAATGGACCCCATGTTTTTTTTAAGCATTACCTTTTCTTAGCAGACTGACATCATCTTTTATAGAGGAATTTTTTCACTATGCATTCGGTGGATCTTTATAAAATTCTGACCTTCTGATTAGGTCCAGGTCAGTCTTGATTAAAAGGGATTGGGGAAAACAAGGCAAGCCAATCACAAAAATTAGATCAGTCAATGAAAGGAATCGGTTTACATTTTTCAGCATTCAGCATTACTTTTTAAGTAAACAGTTCATTGAGAAAAAGTATGTATGCAGCGGTGGAACATGGGCCTGTCCTTTGCAGTGACTCCAACATCCTCTGCCTGTCCTGGAAGGGACGTGTTCCCAAGAGTGAGAAGGAGAAGCCGGTGTGCAGGCGGCGCTACTACGAAGAGGGCTGGCTGGCCACAGGCAACGGCCGGGGTGTCGTTGGTGTCACTTTCACCTCCAGCCATTGTCGCCGGGACAGGAACACACCCCAGAGAATAAACTTCAATCTGCGGGGTCACAACAGCGAGGTAAGTTGGGGTTTTGTTTCACTTTGGTCATTTCTGCTGGTAGGTTTGAGCCCCGATTCTGGGGACTCAGAACCTACCTTGCTTCAGTTTCCTAAGATTTGCTGCCGGGTGAGCCTTTTCATACCATGAGTCTGTCTGCTATGTTCCAGGGGGAAGTGTTGGGGCGGCCAGGGGTCTCGGGGCCTATGCCCCTCCCCGAGTTTGTCCGTCCTTTCAGGTACCCCTTGCTCTCCTTTCCCACCGGCAGGGCCACCAGGTTGGGGGGTTGGATTAGATGACCCCAACCAACCTGTGATTCTCTGAGCCTTTGTGGTCACCCTCTGTGCACAGCAGAGCGTTCCTGCCCCATGTCAGACTGAAACAGTGGTCGTGCAGTTGTCTTCGCCTCTCACGGGTAGCATCTGTCTCGCTTTGGGGATGGTTTCACACCTAGCTTGTAGTTCTTGTACTTTGTGGTATATGAACAATGGAACTAGTTGGACCAGAGTTGTAGTTTTTCATATCTCTTGTGTATATTTTATTACATTGTTCTGTGTACCATGTACTCATACATATAGATCTCGGGGGTTCTGAAACAGACTGTTGTCAGTGAAATTCATTCAGCCATGTTTATTGAACATGCGTGTCAGGCACTGGGTTTAAAAGAAGAGGTATACTTGCACAGCATGTTAACAACGTTCAGACTTTGCTGGTATAGTTTATTTGTGTGTTTTCTTATGAGGAATCCATCTTAAAGTGTCATTAGATGGTTATTGAATAATTGTTGGAAAGGAGGAAGAATATTTTTGAAGTGTAGCATACAATGCAGTGTATCAATCTTGAGTGTATGTCTCAATGATTATCTACACACGCAGTCACCCGTGTAACCTCCAGTCAGATCCTGCACCCCTTGCAGGTGCCCACTGCTCTTCCCAGGCTCTGCACTCCATTGAGAGGTGACCTAGAAAATGACTTCTGTCACTGGATAAGTTGTGCCTGTGTGCTTCAGCTTCTTGTAAACGGAATCACTGTTACATACTCTTCATGTCTGGCTTCTTCCACTCGACAACGTCTGTGAGATTCATCCCTGTTCTGTATACTATTAGTTTGTCCTCTGTAATTGATGTTAATTTTCCATTCAAGGAAAAAGTCACAGTTTTTCCATCCTTCTGTTGATGGACATTTGGATTGCTTCCAGTTTTTGGCTGTTACGGCCACTCCTGCTGTGAACATCCACATACATGTCTTTTTGTGGATCTGTGCACTTGTAATGGAATTTCTGAGTCATAGGGGAGGCGTACACTTCGGTTTAGTAGAAATTGCCAAAGAGTTTTACAGGGTGATTGTACCACTTTTATCCCCACCAGTTACAATTGTGTAAGGAGGGTCTTTTGAATTTGAAATTTTTATGTAAAAAAGTGGTTTTATGCAAGGAATTTTGTTTTACAAATGCTTCTACACTTAACTGCATACACACACATATGCATATGCATGAATACATACACATATATATGTCTGTGATTTTGAAGTAGATACTTTCTTAAAAGGTATATTTTTCTAGTGCTATGTAGCAAATTACCATAAATTCAGTGATTTGCAACACCGTGTCTCACAGTTCTGTGGTTCTGAAGTCCTGGCTTGGTGTAGCTGGGTTCTCTGCTTGGTGCCTGTCAGGTCTGGGAAACATGGTGTCCGCAGGAACCGCGATCTCATCTGGAGCTTGGAGCACTCCTGTAGTCTCGTCAGATTGTTAGCAGATGTCAGTTCCTTACACCTGTGAGGACCGAGGCCCTCAGCTCCTAGAGACTGCCCACCATTCCCTGCCATGTGGCCCTCTCCACAGTATGTCAGTTTGTTCTTCAAAAACAGCAGGAGAGCATCAGCTTTAGCTTTGAATTTCTCTGATTTTTCTGTCTCTGAAGAGGGGCTCACCTGATTAGGTCATGCCCACCCACACTTCAGGTGAGGGAGGGGATTATACAGGGTGTGCATGCCAGGGGTGCTATTTTATAATTTTGTGTACCACAAAAGAGGAGCTTACAATTCCCAGTGGCATGGATATTTCACTATTAAAACTATTTCATGTGGCTCTTGCACTTTGCATTTTTACTTCTAGTTAATTTCTATTCTTAATATTTGAATAGGTCTATTTATTGACCTTTTGCCAAGTAGGGTATTCCCAGGATGTGGGACTGTCAGTGCTAAAACTGGGAATGTCCCAGGCAAACTGAGATGGCGAGTTATCTTAGTGTCAAGTGCCAGGCTTGGTGCCAGCCACCTTCCAACACAATTACCTTATGTGGTTTTTCACAGAGACTTAGGGGTACATACCATTATTCCCATTTTAAAGGTTAGCTTGGCTATGAGTTCATACACTTTGAATGGAGGACAGCTGGAATTTGACCCCAGGGCTTTATCATTCTCCTTCAACTTATCTTTAGTTACTTAAGACTAATGTTCCATGCAAGTCCACAGTCCTTTGTGCACAGTTGTGAAATCTAAGGCCTCTCAAAATAGAGAGTTTTTGTGTAATGAATTTAATGGTAGGACCTGACCTGAACTGATAAGGACCTATTTATTGTCATTCTATCACTTCAGCTGCCGAAATGTTCAGTGTTTCATATGGTGCTGCCCAGACCCTGCCGGGGTGTCATATAGTTGATGTGTCTGCCTTGTATTACTTTTCTAAAATTTCCAAAACTGAATTTGAAACTTATCAGGCCGAAAGGATTTTGATTAAGAGATTGTGAGCCTGTATCTTTGTTTAACAGTCATGAAAGGAACTTCTGAAGAGTTTTATCTTCTTTTTTTTTCTATTTCTTTTTTCCAGGAAGAATAACATTGGCTCATCTCTTACTTAGTTATCTTCACTCCCTTTCCATCACAACAAGCAAAAAAAACCCGCTTACCCTCTCCACCTCGATACACCCTAAAAACTCTCAAGTGAAGAACTGTTGAAAGATCCTAACCCTATCTCTGGCCATAGGACATAACCAAATTGCAGATTTCGGGTCTAGTAATCTGCTGATTTTACAACAGAGAAACTCAGGAGTGTTTTCCTTCTAGGAAACAACTTCTTACAGATATTATTACTGCCATGCAAGTTAGTCATGGTTAGTACTCATTCTTCATTTAATGGGATTTTCTTCATTTGAGAGCCGACAGGCAGTCCTGCCTGTTTGGTGGAATTAGTTTCATTATAGGGACACCTTCACTATAGGAAGAGTTTCATCTAGATTGTTGGATTTGGTTACTTCTCCTGTGGGAAGGTCGCCCCTACTGTACACTGAACAGAGTTCTGTGGTAATAGTTTATTATGGTTATCAGTTTGTGTGGGTTGGTAAGAGTTACTGGAAGATTGTCTGTTCTTGTTGTCTTAACTTCCTCACCTCCCATTGTTGAAAATGTCATTTATTTATTTTAATTTCCTCCATTAGCCCACTTCAGCGTGGCTTCTTTCCCCAGCTCTGTTGAAATGGTCATGTCCCCGATGACCTCCCGTGACTCAACTCCTGTGTCACTTTACTGCACTTGATGTCTTGGTAGCTTTCAGTTGAAATGTTGAATTTGGAATGTTATCTTCTCTTGTTTTCCAGGACACCAAGCTCTCCTGGTTTTCCTCTTACCTTTCTGGCCTGTTTTCCACCCTTCTTTGCTTGCTCTGTTCACTTCATCTTTAGTGTTGGAGGGCCCCAAGCATGCATCTTTTTCTAGACAACCTCTCTCAGTTGGCTTTAAATCCACCAGTGCTGAAGACTCCCAAGTTTATATGTCCCATCTGCTATCACCTCTAGTTCCAGATTCCGTTCTTTAACTTGATATAAGAGAGAGAAAATTGGACATCGGTCACTAAGCACTTCGAAGTGTACATCATCCAAAGAGCACTTGTTTCCCTGCTGCCCCTTCAGCCACCAAACTTGGTCACCACTGTCTTCTCCATCTTAGTCGATGGCCCAAGAGCAGCAGTCAGACAGGTTACAGTGCAGAAATCTCCCCATCCTTTCCTTGTTCCCAAATCCAGTTATTAACAAGGCCTCCCAGTGTGCCTGACTTGTAAATGAGATCTGACACATGCCTGCTTCTCCCCTCCGCTTTCATTAGCGCCCTAGCACAGCCTCGTCACTGATCCTGTGACTTAAACTCTGCTGTTTGACCCATTGTGGACGACTCTGCTTACAAGTGCATATTTGGTTTCTCAAGTGTTGTTAAAATAGTCTAAAACAGTTTATATCTGATGTGCTTTATCTTTTCTCTTTCCTAAAAGCACTACATGAGATATATCACAATTCCAAAAACAATGTGAATGTCTAGATTATAAGAATGATCTTCTGTGCAGGAGAATCTTAGGTTTCTGTTGTGCTCTGTGGTGGGTCTATAAACCTAGATTTAGCCTCCACTCTCTTTTCCCTGGTTCTAGAAGACCTCTTTTCTAGAAGGCAGTTACTGGGGACTGCTGAGCCTAATCCTGTTTCTGCACCACTGTTCATGGTGATGATCAACTTCCTTACACTTAGGAGAGATTTGAAAAACACTTTAGATTAAAAAACATTTATATAAAATTTAACATTTAAGGATCTGTGCAATAATTCTAGTGAGAAAATTTTGTATTGAAGCCAGTGAAAAGTCACTGCAAATCTTGTATTTTCCTTATAAATTCTTCATAAAAAGTGACTTTCGGTAGGTGTGTGTGATCACCCACTGTAGTATTGTGATAATGGGTGTGAGCAGTAACTATTCATTTCTTGTGGTTTCCCTTTTTGCTCTGTTTTTCCATATCTCCATTCCAAGAAGTTCTAGCTCTACTACTTACCTAGCTGGTGTGGTCCTGTCAAAGTCATTTAAGTCATTAGTTAACTCATGGTTACATTGAAATAATAGTTCCTTTCTTTCAGAGTTGTGAGAATCTATGAGAATGTATTTTGTTGAAAGGGCTTTGAAAATGGTGAATGTCATGCATATAAATAAGTGATGTTAAGTACCTCAAACCCTATTTACTTAACCGTATTCTTATTTTTTCAATC